CAGCCTCCCAAAGCGCAGGATTACAGACTGAGCCACTGAGCCCGGCTTTTTCTTAAACTTTTATGTTGGCTGGGCGTGGTGGCTCACACTTGTAATCCTAGCACTTTGGGAGGCCAAGGCAGGAGACTTGCTTGAGGCCAGAGGTTTGAGACCAGCCTGGGCAACAGTGAGACCTCATCTCTACACAATTTAAAAAATAAAATAGTGGGCGTCGGCAACACAGAGTGACCTGATCCGGGCGAGATGGCAGAAGTGGAGGAGACACTGAAGCGACTGCAGAGCCAGAAAGGAGTGCAGGGAATGATCGTGGTGAACACGGAAGGCATTCCCATCAAGAGTACCATGGACAATCCCACCACCACACAGTACGCCAACCTCATGCACAGCTTCATCCTGAAGGCACGGAGTACCGTGCATGAAATTGACCCCCAGAATGACCTCACCTTCCTTCGAATTCGCTCGAGGAAGAATGAAATCATGGTTGCACCAGATAAAGGCTATTTCCTGATTGTGATTCAGAATCCAACTGAATAGGCACTTGCCTGGCTACCTGTGTCATTCCTTAATTTAATCCCCCCAAGAGTAATAATCATGTCAGCACACTGGCATGTGGAAATTGCCTTAGAGCCCAGTCAGACCAATCCAGTGACCACAGGTAGGCTGGCAGCTCTGCTTGCCCCACCAGAGGACTCCTGCTGCACCAATCTTCCCCAGAGTTGGGGCGGAGCGGGGAGGGTGCCTCTTTCCTCACTTCTGGGTTTTGGAGCAAGAGCTTGTGAACAGCCCACACCCAGCTTCCTTCTGACTTTCAGTTTGCTTTGTTGCCCTTGGAAAAGGCTTTTTCTTTAACTAAAAATAACTGAAATGCTTAAAAAAATAAATAAAATAAAATAAAAACTTTAATGTTATTATTATTATTATTACTGAGACAGGGTCTTGCTAGAGTGCAGTGGCATAATCATAGCTCACTGCAGCCTTGGACTCCCGGGCTCAAGCAATCCTCCCGCCTCAGCCTCCAGAGTAACTGGGAATATAGGCATGAACCACCATGCCTGGATAATCTTTATTTATTTATTTTTTTGTAGAGATCGGGTCTTGCTCTGTTGTTCAGGCTGATCTCACACTCCTGCTCAAGTGATCCTTCCAACTTGGCCTCCTCAATGGCTGGATTTACAGGTGTGAGCCACCGCGTCTGGTTTCATATAGGTATTTTAGAAAAATGCTCTGCAGTCATGAGAAAAAGAGGTTTATGGAGGCCACGGGGAGAGAGGCTGTTTGGAGACCATCACAATGCAACTAATGAGAGAAGATGAGAGTCCGAACAGAGAAGACCCCCCACCGTATAGGTTGCAGAGGGCCACCAGGGAAGGGGACCCATGGGGACAAAGCAGAGGCTCAGGGTTCACAGACAGAGCTGAAGGGGTGTTGAGCTTGCAATGGAAAGGGAGCCAACGTTCCCACACTGCAAGACTGCTGGGGCCCATGTGTTAACGGCTGCAGACGGCAGCCTCAGAGCCAGCAGGACACACAGAGAACGGGTGAACAAGGAGACGGGGAAGGCAGAGGACCCAGTCCAGGGACCCAGTGAGCACCCAAGCTCCTCCTGCTGCGACAGAGACACACAAGCCACACCTTCCCCTTTTCTCTGTGCACCTGCTCTTGTGTTAGGAGAAGCAGCAGGGAGATGAGGAGGTGGTCTGACAGCTGGAGAATCTTTTTTTTTGAAACCAGGATTTATCGAGAGGACAGAGAAGCTCCCACAGTGGGAGGGGACCCAAAGGGGTGGCCGGAGAATCTTTAAGAGAATCCGAACACACCCACAGGAAGTTTCCAAGATCAGCACTGCCATGCTTTAACCCAGACTGGACATTTAGATCATGTTCAATGTCACCACCATCACCAACTAACCCAGTGAATGGGGACTCCACCTGAGATGGACGAAGACCCACATAAAAGTAGAACACAGTTCAACCAGGTGCACACTTTCCTCTAAGCTTCTGACCTCCAGGTGTGTGGACCAGGCTCGCTACTCAATGATCAACCCTGACCCAGCCCCCAGCACCTGTCCCACTTTACTCAGACCCCCTCTCAAAGCTCTGACTGCAGCCTTTTATATTCCTTCTCCTATTTATTTCCCCACTGTTCCCGTTGGATTTGACCTTGGCTGGCTCAAAAAGCCTTGGGTGATCCCGTTTCCTATTTCAACTCCACTCCCCATTTGGGAGATGGGAGAGGGTTAAGATTGAGTTTGGTTCCTAATGGCCAGTGACTTACAGTCATGTCTGTGTCATGTAACCTCCATAAAACACCCTTCCACACTGGGCTTCCGTGGGCTTCTGGACTGGTGAACATATGGATGTGTCGGGAGGGTGGGGTCCTGGAGAGGGCGTGGAAACCCTGCCCTCCCTGTCCCCATCCCTATGCATATTTTCCCTTGGCTGCTCCGGGTTGTCTCTTTTCTAATAAACCAGTGAATATGCTGAAGTATTTTCCTATGAGTCACTCTAGTGAATTACCAAATCTGAAAGGAGGTCATGGAAACCCTCCAATGTGTAGTCAGCCGGGTAGAAGCGTGGGTGGCCCGGACACCCCATTTGTGACGGCTTGATGAGACGGAGCCCTTCAACGTGTGAGATCTGAGCCCAACGCCAGGTGGACAGTGTCAGAGACCTGTCCCGCCTGACTGTTGTCGTGGAATGGGTTGGTGAGTGGGAAAATGACACACAGTGAGTGTCAGAAGCGGTGTCAGAAAAAAGCCACCACACAGGAGCCCTGTCAGATTCGTCTCCTCCTGATTTCACCTGGGGCGGTGCAATCACACTTCTTTATAGAATGTGGTTACGCCCAAAAGAAACGGCCAATTCCGCTGCACTTCTCTGACCTACATTCGGCATCAGGCTTTTGAAAGAGAAGCGAGGCTTGCATTTTCTCGGCTCAAGTCAACCCAAGCCCCCAATCAAGCAGGGCTGGATTTGCCTACAGGCCTTGACTTTCTTCCAACTGTCATTCACACCACACCCGGTGGAAAGACCCAGGGCAAGGCCCAGAGGCAAAGGCCTTTGGTCTAGAACAGGGTGTAGCCCACCTGCAGGTCCTCACATGGACTCAAGTCAGGGACCCTGGCTGAGCCCAGGCAAAGGCTCTGCTGAAGACACTTTCCCTCCTGACCTGAAGCCCCAACCATGATGCTCTTCCAGTGTTTTTTTTTGTTTGTTTATTTATTTTATTTTATTTTTTTGAGTTGGAGTCTCACTCTGTCGCCCAGACTGGAGTGCAATGGCCGCTCCCGGCCACCGCAGCCTCGACCTACTGGGCTCTGGTGATCCTTCCGCCTCAGCCTTCCGAGTAGCTGGAAACTACAGGCATGCACTAC